GGAGGTGCAAGGTGAGTCGGGTGGCTCCAGAGATGGGGAGACCTGTGGAAGTGGCTGAAGGTGCCATGACCTTTCTCCATGCATGGTCCTGTTGGACCCAAGGGCTCTCAGCCATTGCCTGCTGCCTTGGTTGTCCTGGAAGGGATGCTGCTATCTGGGGTAGCTCTACCCGCCCCCAGTGCTCCCAGTTGGCTGCAGCTGGTATTCACTCCAGCAGCCCAACTGCTCTAGTTGCACCTGCTCACACTTCCTTCACCCTCCCACTGCCACCATCCACCCTGATGGTGTTTGTATTTCCTCTTGCATATGGCCAAGGGAGTTGCTACAGCATCACCTCCCCACTGCTGTGTCCCTCTACCTGCAGCTCTGCCGAGGGCCCAGGGCAGCAGAAAAGCCCTGAGGAAAGTTTCTGTCATCAAGGCTGGAGAGATGGTTTTGGAGTGTGGGGCCATGGCCATGGGGACACCACCACCCACGGTGACGTGGATCAAGGATGGGCAGCCCGTGGCTGGCAGGGATGGGTTCCTGCTTCTGGAGCAGGGGAGGAGATTGTGCATCCCCAAGGCAGAGGTGGCCCATGCAGGACACTACACTTGCCTGGTGGCAACCACGACAGGGCAGGAGCAGAGGGAGTTTGAAGTCACAGTGCATGGTAGGTGTGTGGGACAGGGCTGGGGATTGGATGCAGGCAGGGTCAGGAGGGTGGTGGTGTCACACAGTATGTGTGTGGAAAACATGATGTGGAGGTCCTAGGCAACCAACACATAGAAGATCTTGAGTCAGAAAGGGGATGGTCCAGGCGTAGCTGTAGAACTGGCTCTATTTGGCAGGAGTTCCTTTCCAGGGTCATCAAGCAGACCAGCTCACATTTCATAAAGTTATCTTCTTCCCAAGGAAAACCTTGGGGGAAATCTCATGGATCAAGGTACCAAGCACCTCAGCTGGAAAAAGCCTGAGGTGGCTCAGGTTGTGAGGCCATCTTGGTGTCACATGTGTAAGGATGGGCTTGGGCACAGGGGTAGATGGCACACACTTGCTGTAAGTCCCCTGTCCCATAACATCTTCAAAGTCAACAATGTCAGGTGAAGCTCATGGCCTTTCTGAGCTTGTGTCCTCAAGCTGCACAAGCAAGAGGGTGGGAACAACCTGGATTGACTCGGTTTGTCTTGCTGCTCTGGTGTCTTGGTGGTTGCTTTGCAAATGCATGTCCCCCCTTTTCTGCACCCCTAGTTCCTCCTGAGTTTATTCAAGGATCGGGATCAACAACCAACATCAGTGTGTCTCTGCATGGAACCCTGACACTGACCTGTGAGGCCACTGGTGTTCCCCTGCCCACGGTCACCTGGTTCTGGGATGGCTCTCCTGTCACCCCCAGTGAGCACACCCACGTGCTTTCAGGTCAGGGACCAGATGTGGATGCTGTGAGAAATGGGAGCTTTGGGGACGTGTTCTGCTCCAGCCCTGATGGGTGTAAATGTGGCAGAGCTCCAGGCCTGCAGGAGCACTGCTGGGATGGGCTGGTGTCTGGATCAGGACCCTGAGACCTCTCTGCTTGATGTTTCCAGGGGGCTGGGTGCTGAGGCTCAGCCGTGCACGAGCTCAGGATGAAGGCCACTATTCCTGCCTGGCCAGCAACATAGCTGGGGAAGCCAGGAGACATTTCTACGTGGAGGTCCTAGGTAAGGAGGGCTCCTCTGTCTGATGCAGGATTCTTGGTGGGATTTCAGAGCTGTACCCCAGCAGGGACAGTCAGGACTTAAGATTGGGCACGGTGGGAGCTGCAGTGCTGAAGTCCATCATGCATGTGAGCTTGTTGGAGGCTTGGTGAAGCTGGCCAGCTGCTGAGGTCCCTGGTGGCTTGTGTTCCTAGTTCCTCCCCACATTGAGAATGCAGATGAAGATGAGACCACCGAAGTGTCTGAGGGCCACCCTGTCACCTGGTCCTGCCTGGCTGTGGGTGAGTGTCACATGGGGAGCAGAGGTGGTGGGAGCAGGTGGGAGATGGGGCTCAGGGACCTGGGGCTGTTCTTGGGGTGTGGAGCAAACGAGCAGCTCCAGTTGATGACATGAAAACAGCGGAAATTGGCTGAAGAGGTTTTTTGGGATAGTTCCTGGCTTTGCACTTGGGCTGTCCAGGAAGCTCTGGGGAGGGGACGCCCACGCAGGGAGCTTGTTCCACCACGTAAGCTCAAATCTTTCCCAAATGGAGCTCCAATTCCTCTAATCTGGTTTCTTCTTTAGTGATGGGAATAATTAATCACCTCCTACTCAGGACAGTTTTCTTTCTTCTTGCTGGCTCATCCAGCAGCCTCTAAAAACCTGATCCAGATCATGATAACTCTGGATTTGGGCTGGTGTCCCTATTTCCCAGAAAAACTCCAGCACAGTGACCCTGGTCAGGCTGTGCACACAGGGAAGAACTTTGCATTGAGGCCAAAACCTGCTTTCCACCCTGCACAGGCAACCCTCAGCCTAAGATCACCTGGCTGAAGGATGGCCACCCTCTGCCCAGTGGAGACACCTTCTCCATCTCCCCTAATGGCTCCGTGCTCCACATCCCCCAAGTCTCCCTGTCTGATGCTGGCCACTACTCCTGCATGGCCTCCAGCTCTGTGGGGCACCAAACCAAGCACTACCTGCTGGATATTTCAGGTATGAGATGACTTCAGATGGAGATAGTCTCAGGTGTGAGCAGGGAATAAGGACTTAGAGTGCTTTCTTGTTGCCTGCCTCAGGTAGGTGGTGAGGATCTCAGTCCTACAGCCAGCAGCATGGCATGGTGTCCTGGACCTGTAAGAAACCCTTGTGAGACCTCTTGAAGGAACATAAAGGGCTTATCTAGTGTAGGATCCATCTCTGATGGCTTGTGGGAAGGGGAAGAATGTTTCTATGGCCCCTGTGCTTTCAGAGGGCAGGGGCTGGAGCTGGGCTGGAGCTGTGTGTTTCACATCCTGTGGACAAATCCAATCCCCTGAACTTGGCTCATGCTCACTGGTGGGGGGATGAAGCACTGGGAATCCTACATGGGTGCTGATGCTGATCTGCCATGCAAACGTGTCTCTGCAGCCAGTCCCATGTTTGCTAGAGATGACCACTATGCTGCTGCAGAAGAGGTCACAGTGATCATCAACAACCCCATCTCCCTGGTCTGTGAGGCTCTGGAATACCCATCTCCCAACATCACCTGGCTCAAGGATGAGGTTCCCCTCAAAGCATCTCAAAACATCCAGCTGCTCCCTGGTACCATTGTGTTGTCCACATGACTGTGGTGGCCCCTTGCTCCACGCTTGTGGGAGTGGGAATGGGGCCTTTTCTGGGTCTGGTTGTGGTCCAGGGAAGTGGGGTGGTTAGAAGTCCTACAGAACCTGAAGGGCTCATCAGGTGGCTGCTGCTCTTCCATGTGCTGCATCATCTGATAATAGCTAGAGCTTCCTTGGCAGCAGCAGTGGGATAGCACTGGGTTTTACAAGCCTGGAAACTGGGCTTTAAAAGAGCACTAGACCCCCTCAAGTCAGGCTTGCAAGTGACAAACAGGTCCCTAAAGATACCTCCTTATGCTGCATGGGGATAGAGCTATGGCTGTCAGTGGTGACTCTCTCAGGAGTCCCCTTTGCCCAGGTGGCCACGGGCTGCAGATCCTGAATGCCCAAGAAGAGGACTCTGGCAGGTACAGCTGCATCGTGGCCAGTGAAGCTGGGGAGGCTCTGAAGAACTATGCTGTCAAGGTCTTGGGTGAGGGAACTCACTGTGTTCTTCCTCATTCCAGCACCAATCCTACTGCTGTAACTGGGCCAGAGGCCCTTCCTTTCCTTCCTTTCCTGTGCCTTCACCCCAGGGAGCTGCACCTCTTGCAGCAGATGCTTCACCATACACATGCCAGCTTGTGGCCCCAAAAAGCCTCTGGTGTACCCTGGGGATGGCAAAGGGGTCCATCTGGGGGTGTCAGGAGCACCCCAAGATGTTGTCTGTCACTGATCAGGGCAGAGCAAGAGCTCTGGGGACTATTTTCTCATCTTGGCCGTTGTCTCTCCCCACTAGTTCCTCCTTGGATTACCAGAGATGACCCTTTGGGGGAATTTGCCATGAAAGAGGTAAAAGCCAGTGTCAACAGCACAGTGACACTGGAGTGCGAGACCTGGGCTGTGCCTGAGCCAACCATCCAGTGGTACAAGGACAAGCAGGTGAGGTCCTAGCGGCAACCAGGGAGGAGCTGCTGGTCTTGGGGATCATTCCAGGTGGATGGAGTGGAAAGATAGTCCTGACATGGCTGTCTGGGCTTGGTCCCACTCCTGGGTGTGTAATCCTTCTCCTGTCCTTCTGGTTTCTCCCTGGCTTGGGGCTGGGGCCCTGTGCAGCTCCTGGAAACTGCTGGTCACCTCCAGATCCTCAGTGAGGGGCAGGTCCTTCAGATCAAACCAGCTGGTGTCTCAGATTCAGGGCACTATACCTGTGTGGCCACCAACACTGTGGGAGAAGACAACAGGGACTTCATTGTGGATGTCCAAGGTGAGCCTTATGAGGCCAGACAGTGTCCAGAGCAGTGGGTGTCTTGGCAAATGGAGGTGTCCTTAGTGGAGTTCCCTTGTGGGAGCAGAGCAGGGTGAGCAGGAAGAGGGTTGTATCTGCTGGAATAGGGACACCTGCTTGGCCCCTGTCAGGCCTGGGCAGATGCTCTGGTTGCACCTGAGGATGTGAGTCTCCAGTCCCCACCACTGACCGCAGCCTGTCCCCGCAGTGCCACCCCTCTTCCAGCAGCAGACAAGCCCCAAAGAAGCCCTTGACATCTTCTACCGGGAAGAAGACCAGGATGGGGAGGTGACAGAGCACAGGCAGGCTGTCCTGGGCCAGCCCACTGCACTCTACTGTGACACCAGCGCCATCCCACCTCCCCAGCTCACCTGGTACAAGGATGGGAAGCCCCTCTCCCCTGGCCCAGGGGTGCTGATACTGCTGGGTAAGGGCATGGACCCTCCCTGGGGGGCCTGGGGAGGTGTTTCTGCAGCAGCCCTTGTGGCTTGAGGGCGTCTGGAGGAGGTGGGACCCCGTCCCTTTGCTCCTGCCAACACAGTCTGCACCTGTGGGACCTGCAGCGTGACTGGGGCTGCGCAGGGGGGTGCACAGAAAGGCTGGGGAGGGACCCTGGGAGCCATGGTGGAGCCCTCCCCAAGCCCGTGGTGCTGCAGGGGGCCGGGTGCTGCGGATGCCGGCGGTGCGGGAGCAGGACGGGGGCAGGTACACCTGCCAGGCCACCAGTGCTGCCGGCTGGGACCGCCTGCACTACCAGCTGGAGGGGCTGAGTGAGTACAGGGCTGGGGTGGGAGGTGGATGGAGACGGGTGGCAACCCCATAACCACCTACTTTCCAGCCCCACCAGCCATCCATGATGGCGTGGAGGACTTGGCTGAGGAGGTGACAGCCACCGTCAACAGCACCATCCACTTCAAATGTGAAGCCTCTGGGCACCCTTTGCCCACGGTGACCTGGCTCTGGAATGGTGTCCCCATTATGGCTGGCCCACGGCACCAGCTTCTGGAGGGTGGCATGGTCCTTCAGGTTAGTGTGCCCCTGGGCAGGATGGCTGTGCCAGGGAGGGA